GCTGCCTAGCAAACTCCTACCCATCCTCAAGGTCCAGCTCAGAGAGTTATTTTTGGGCAACCCCAATGCTTAATACAGTGCTTGGCATATAATAACAGGTCCTCCTGAAATAACGAAGAGTTCCAGTTCCTTCTGGGAAAATAACTAGTATGTGTGTTACAGTCACTTAGCCTCACTGAACTCCAGTGTTCTCAGGGCACTAGAAGATCTACAGGATTCCTTATAGTCCTTCAGTGCCACACTGAATGTGCCAAGGGAAACAATCAATCTCAGATACAAATGCTCTTTTTTAATGATTTGCAAACAAAATAATTACCCAGTTTCCCATTTTTTTTAAACAGTTGTTCACAGTATTTTTATTTGTAATATTTACAAATAGTTAATTTGTAAAACAAAAAATAACCTAAATGTCCATCCAAGTGAATGGATAAAACAATTGTGCTATGTCCGTACAATGGAACACTACTCAACAATAAAAAGGAATTAACTATTTATACAGCAATAAAATAGATGAATTCAAAATAATTACACCGAGCAGAAGAAGCCAGACAATAAAGAGTACGTATATCATGATTCCATTTATATAAAAGTCTAGGAAACACAAATTTATCTATAATGAACAGAAGCAAGCCAGTGACTGCCTAGGGACAGAGCAGGATTGGGGGAGGAAGCTTTGGATTACAAAGGGTCACATAGGCACTTTTACCCAGTTTCCCATTTTCAAACATATCCTAGGATTGTTTTCCCTGGAGTCATAGAAAGGCGAGGCCAGAAAAAAAAAAAAGAAAAGAAAACTTACAGAGGGTAAATGACACCTCTGAAATTGGCATCATAGAATAAAGAAAATCCATATCCAAATGAGGCTCTGAAATAGCCGTCTTTTTTTTTTTTTTTTGGCTGCATTGGGTCTTCGTTGCTGCACATGGGCTTTCTCTAGTTGTGGCGAGCAGGGGTACTCTTTATTGCAGTGCATGGGCTTCTCATTGCAGTGGCTTCTCTTGTTGCCGAGCAGAGGCTCTAGGTGCACAGGCTTCAGTAGTTGTGGCACGCGGGCTCAGTAGTTGTGGCTCGTGGGCTCTAGAGCGCAGGCTCAGTAGTTGTGGCGCACGGGCTTAGTTGCTCCGCGGCATGTGGGATCTTCCCGGACCAGGGCTCGAACCCGTGTCCCCTGCATTGGCAGGCGGATTCTTAACCACTGCACCACCAGGGAAGCCCTGAAATAGCCATCTAAAACTTAGGAATGATACCAATAAATGGGCATGATGTCTGTGCAAGGTCTGCTGACTCTGGCTGCCAGAAAGGATGACGATGACAAAAAGAAGTTCACTGACTATCAGAAAAAAAAAAAAAAAGGACAGAGGACAAGGTAATTGCTAAAGAGACTGATCGACAAGGCACAAGACATCTGTCATGCCGGGGGGCATATTAACTCTATTACATTACTTGCACATCAGCAGATCACCTCAATTACCAGCTAATCAGGCAGAATTAAACATTTTAAATTATCTTTCTTAATCCTGCATGTGATTATTTGAAAACCCAGGGCTCTAAAAATCTAATTGTAACTGCTTACCAGAAATGTCATCTTCACTTTGAGGAACTGAAGCAGGGCCAGATACAAGACTGTTTTTTTTCCGTTTTCCTAAAGTACCGTCCCATGGCCAGAACTGGACTTGCATGTATATCTGCCTAGTGCCGGGCATATTAGGGGCTCCCAAGGGGACCTGGCCCTGCTTCAGAACTCATAATGGCCAGAGACCAAAAGAAGAGCAATGGGAGGGGAGAAGGGGGGCGTGTGGGTGGAGGGAGGATGGAGAGGAAAAAACAACTGTTAAAACCTTAGCTAGAGACTTCCCTGGTGGCGCAGTAAAGAATCCGCCTGCCAATGCAGGGGACTCAGGTTCGAGCCCTGCTCCAGGAAGATTCCCACATGCTGTGGAGCAGCTATGTTCGTGTGCCACAACTACTGAGCCTGCACTCTAGAGCCCACGAGCCACAACTACTGAGCCCGTGTGCCTAGAGCCCGTGCTCCATGGCAAGAGAAGGCACTGCAATGAGAAGCCCACACACTGCAATTAAGAGTAGCCCCCGCTTGCTGCAACTAGAGGAAGTTCACGCGCAGCAACAAAGACCCAACACAGCCAAAAAAAAAACCTTAGCAAATGTCAGGAGAGCAAAATCTAGATTTAGAGTGTTCTGTAGGCCTAGAAGGCACAGGAAACAGTCCCTCTCCCAGTAAGAAGGGATGGTATGAGGTTGTGGGAGATTGCTTACCCATCTACAGTTAAGACTCCTGAGCTTCCTACGCTTAAGCTCCTCTTCTTCCCACTCCTTCAGTGTCCTGGACATCAGTGTGATGACATGGCAGTGAGCTGGTAGTCTACTCCTTGCCCATCTTCCTAGGATGCTGCAATAGTGTCCTCAGGAGCAGAGCTGCCAGGACTGTACTGTAGGTCTCCTAAGTGGTTTCCATTGCATGAAGATGGTTCTTGGGTAGGCCTAGAATTATATGGAGGTGAAAAAACGTTTGGAGCCAAAGTGTAGAGCCCTGTGAGTTAGAGCCTTTCCCGCTGCCCTCAGTGCCCATTGCTGCTGATAGAGGTGGACAAGGAAGTGAGAAAACAGCTGTGTGGGTCATAGCTTGCTGAACATCTGCCTGCCCTTTGCGTGAAAGTATGAGTATGTGTGTGTTAGGTTAGTGGTGTGTGTACTTTGTGTATTTTCAATGTGGATAATGTGTGCTCCATGTGAATGATCTATGAGTGGTATGAATGCCATGTGTTCGTGTGTGCATATGTGGGTGAGTAAATGTACAACAGGGGGACAGAGTTTAAAGGGCTAACTAGTCACTCTCACTTTCCTCCTCCTACTTGCATTCCTTTAAAATCTACAGGAGGGTGCCATATGATGGGACAACACCTGAAAAAGCTGTGTGATTTGGGACCAGAAGTTAGGTGAAGTACATCTTCCTAAAAGATCCTCTAAAAACAGGAAGTTTGGGGCTTCCCTGGTGGCACAGTGGTTGAGAGTCCACCTGCTGATGCAGGGGACACGGGTTCGTGCCCTGGTCCAGGAGGATCCCACATGCCGTGGAGCGGCTAGGCCCGTGAGCCATGGCCGCTGAGCCTGCGCATCCGGAGCCTGTGCTCCGTAACGGGAGAGGCCACAGCAGTGAGAGGCCCGCATACCGCAAAAAAAAAAAAAAAAAAAAAAACAGGAAGTTTTATATCCTTTTCCATCCTTGGTCAAAACAAACCAAAACTGGGAAAAGGAAGATCATGGTTACATTTGCTAGATGACTTCCCTATGACTGTCCTGTTCCCAGTTAGGAAAATCCTCCTTACTGAGACTTCAACTTTTAGGTTTAGCATGTGGGAATGTAATTAGAAACACGTTTGGACAGAAGAATAGTAATATTTTGTAAGAATTTCTCTTGATCTTTGCCATTCTGAAGTTTTACTGCAGTGAATTCAGATCTGAATTTATTCTTATTTATACTGCTCATGACTCTTTCTTCCTCTTGAATCTCAGTATTTGTGTTTTTCATCAATTCTGAAAAATCCTCAACCATTCTCTCTTTTATTACTACCTCTCCTCTATTTTCTCAATCCTCTCCTTCTGGAACCCCTATAAGGTATATTTTAGACCTTCTGTTTTCCATATCTTATATCTTTTAAAATTACTAGAGGGGCTTCCCTGGTGGCGCAATGGTTAAGAATCCACCTGCCAGTGCAGGGGACAAGGGTTCGAGCCCTGGTCTGGGAAGATCCCACATGCTGTGGAGCAACTAAGCGCATGCACCACAACTACTGAGTCTGTGCTCTAGAGCCCATGAGCCACAACTACTGAGCCCGTGAGCCACAACTACTGAGCCCGCGTGCCGCAACTACTGAGCCCGCGTGCCACAACTACTGACACCCGCGCACCTAAGAGCCTGTGCTCTGCAACAAGAGAAGCCACCACAATGAGAAGCCTGTGCACTACAACAAAGAGTAGCTCCTACTCGCTGCAACCAGAGAAAGCCCGCGCATAGCAATGAAGACCCAATGCAGCCAAAAATAAATAAATGTATAAATGTATTTTTTTTTTAAAAACTACTAGAGAGAGAAGCCTAAATAGGGTTTCTTCATAGTCAGGATCCTGGGGCTGCCTGGCACTTTATTCTTGTAGTTCCAGGGCTGATGAAGCAAAAGTGCCCTCTAGAACTGAAAACAGTTCTTTAAGAAATGGAAAAGACTCCTGTGGAAAATTATGGCAAAAGGGGTGAGGGGCACCCCACTGTGCACTCATTTCTTCACACTTGACCTGAATTTTCTGCGTGGTAGGGACATGCTGGTGTGATAAGACAGACCCTGGCCCCAAAGAGCTTCCGTCTAGAAGGGTATGTAGCCCACACAGAATGAGAAGTGCCGTGACAGGGATGCTCCCGAGGAGCAGCTGAGGGGTCCACCTGGCCCGAGGAGCCCAGCGGACCTGCTTCGAGGGCCAGGGAAGGAGATGAGCTGAAGGCTGTCTTCCCCTTAGTGAAGAGTAACCCAGGCAGAGGCAGGAGCTCATGAAAAGGCCAGAGGCAAGACAGCAGGTCATGTTTGTACCTTTTCAATTAGTTCTGATTGGAAAGAGCTTAGAGTACAGGAAGAGTGGGAAAGGATGAGGTACAGCTGGAACAGGGATGGGTCGTGAAGGGCTTCGTTTGCCACTCCTGGGAATTTGCACTTTCTCCTGCGGGCAGTGGGGAGCCACTGATAAGAGGTTAAGCAAGGGACAGATCTGATCAGATCTATACTTTATAAAAGATTAACATGGCTGCTGTGTGAAGAATAAATTGGAGATCATAATACTGGAGGCAGGAAGAACCATCCAGAGACTGTTACATTGAAACAGATAGCTAGTGGGAAGCAGCCAAATAGCACAGGGAGATCAGCTCCGTGTTCTGTGACCACCTAGAGGGGTGGGATAGGGAGACGCAAGAGGGAGGGGATATGGGGACATATGTATATGTATAACTGATTCACTTTGTTATACAGCAGAAACTAACACACCATTGTAAAGCAATTATACTCCAATAAAGATGTTAAAAAAAAAAAAAAGATGTTACATTGATCTGAGAGATTATGGCAGCCTGGACTGGGAATGTGGCAACAGGGATGTGGAGAAGTGGCTTTAAGAATTCTTAAGAATTCAGAAGACACCCCACCCCACCCCCACCAAAATAAAAGAATTCAGGACATAATGGCAGTCCATTTCCTTTTTTAAAAAATTGGCGGGGGAGCCTAAGTTAGATGCTTATTTCATAGTCAAAACAAATAGCTCATTCTATCAGTCTCCATGGTTTTCAGCATCTTTTTGAGCCCTGACTCACCTAAGAGCTAAGACCTACTCCCATTAGAAACAGTTCACATCATCAGTTATTCTCTGCAGGTGGAACAGGAAGATGCCTGTGTAATTTACAAAAAAGAAAATGAAATGAAATACCCTCATGATTCCTATGTGCCCTTCTATTGGGCATGCCGGGCTGCCTGCCACCATTTGGGGGAAGCACTGATCTATGCAACAGAGAAACATCTGGAGCAGAAACTTACCCCTCATGTAAAGTAAATAACATTTGAAGGAAACTCTTTTGCAACATAGCGCTAGTTCAGATATCTCGCCCTACCACCTGTGCCCTAGACACTAGCTTACTCCTGATAGAGACACAGCCTTCACGAAACTACACACTCTCCCCCTGATGAAATGACAAATCAGCCAGTATGTGATGAATTTGGGTTGTGTAGACAAAAATACCAGGTATTCCAGCCAAGGCACACACAGTGTGCTGTGAATCATCCCCACCAGCTTTCAGCAGTTAGATTAGCAGAACAATTGCTCAGTTCCTTCCTTCGTCTTCACAGTGTAGACCTGGCCCAAGACCCAAGAGTGAAGCAGCAACTGTAAGGAAGCAGAAACATTATAAATAACCTAGAGAACCCTTTTATAACAGCAACTGCCTGCTGATTTTGTGGCCTAACAGCTCAAGCAAAAAGGATATAAATATAATATTGTGCAATGACTGATTACTCAAAATGTTGTGCATCAGCAGAAGTGGGACCTGTGGTTGGTGCTAATATTATCAGATGCCTTTGCTGTTTAATAATCTGGTAGCTCTGTATTATTTAGCATGCAGTTTTCACAGAGAACAATGATCTTATTTCAAGTACCTCTCACTGAAATAAAAAAGCAGCTGTTAGAAGATGAACATTTGGCAGAAAATGTTTTAGTGGAATCTTTCGTGAGATAATAAATCATATTGGATTAACTGTTTTCTGTCTAGAATAGCGGAGTCACAAAGAAAAAAGATCGCTGACCACAGAAGGCAAGGGCAGTCTTTAGAACCCAGTGAATCACTAACAGACATTTTAGTTTTAAGTGCCATTTATTCACCAATATATAAAGTTATTTATATACAAAGCTTCCATTAATAGTGCCTGAAGAATGGGCCTTTTTTATTCCAGTTTTAGCTCATACTCAGGATTCTACTTCTCTTTCATTAATAATGGAATTCTTTAAATTATAGAATAAATTAATACACCACAGACATTTTGGGCAGAATGGGGTTTTTAACCAGTCTTAAGTCTCCACAGGCCATTCTGTGTGGCTAGCGTGCTGAGCGCATGCCGGCCCTGCCCCTGAAGAGGCACCGAGGCAGCCCGCTGGGCTCCTGGGCTCCTGGCCCACCCACTCCCAGGTTGCTAGAGCAGGGCCGACAATAGACCCTCACAGGTTCTTCAGGCTGGCCGCCCACTGTCAAACTAGGGCTCTGCTGGAGAGGAAGTGACATCATGACATAGCTACTGGGCATCACCATTTTCAGCCAGCGAACATGATCTGCTGCTTTCATGAGGCCATATTGACTCAGGAACATTTTTCACATGAAATTATTATCACTAAAACATAAAATTCTCTTTTCTAAACTATCAAGCAATGTATAGAGCAAAGACTTTCACAGTATACTCCCAATTCCCACTCTTGGGATGGAGTGGGTGATGGGTAAAGATTAAAAATGGAGGGTTTTCAGAAATTGCTGAGGATTGCTTATAGGATAAAACTAGCTCAAAACAGCTTCATCAGAATGTCCATTTCAATACTGGTGTGACTGGCCAACCCAGAACCCATCAAAAACCAGAAGCTGAGAATGGACTCTGAGACACTGAGTTGGGCCCCAGATGGAGCCAGCAAATGACCTGTCAGTATGGACCACTGGCTGATTTAGACCAGGAATTTGTCACCAATAATGGAGCCAGACCAGTTCATGGTGCTAAGCTCTGAGGTAGAACACCTCAACCATGTACATTCAGGTGGCGAGGCCGGGATAGGTGAAACGTGCCATCAGGCTGGCAACTTCTTTTGCCTTTGATTCAATTTTAGATCAAATCAAGGTGATGCAGTTATTATGATCACTGTACTCTTGCAAATTGTCATTAAATACTAGTAGGGTACCAATAAATAAAAAATCTAGCAGTTCTGGGATGAAGGTTGGTAGAGTTTTTCTTGTTCTTTAGTAGTTGAATTTTAATCAATATGTTGAAAATTGGAAGACCAGAGTCATTTCTTAATACCCCTTACAATCTTTTGGGGCAGTAATATGCTGCCTTGAACATATATCTCCCAACCTTACTTTGACTTTGCACTCAGCTCCCCATTGATCCCTCTCTGTTTTCATCCATCTAAATGAAAGAAGGCTTTGGTCCCATAAACCTCATTCCAGATGGAAATGCATAATTCAAGAGAAATAGTGATGTCAAAGAAGAGAAGGCACACCAATTTGTGTCAGCAGTTGCTATAAATTAAAGGAGTACACGGAGAGTTTAATGTAATGTAAAATTGAAAATAAAATTAGAACCAATATTTAGGCATTTCTCCACCTCTTTTTTCCCTACTGTGACATGAAGGATTGACTCCCAGCTTAAGTACCTAATGTAGTTCATTTTTCTTTTCTGCTAGAATTTTTTTCCCCATAAAATGTTGCATGTTTATCTTTGGCATCCAAAATTAGATCTCTTCACTTTTTCCATTCTATTCTCAACAGAAAAGTCAGGGTAGGAAGAGTCAAAATTTTCCCCTCATCTTCCACACCCATCATGTTTGCCGCATAGAAAGGACCCCACTCTACCAGTCTGACTAGTTCAGCTGCTGTAAATAGCTATTAATCCTTCCTTAGTATTGATTCTCTGTAATGTGGATGTCACCTACATGGTTTCTTTTGTTTTTCTAAGGCTGGAAAACAAAAGGTTGATAATGAACATCTCACACATGTACAACTGCACAAGGTGTTCCGAAACACTCAGGAAAAGCATTCTTGAGCATGCATCCGAAGGGATTAGTCTGATCAACTGCCATTATTCAGAACCTTTTTGGAGCCCTTTATGCAGATTTCCCCCAAAGCCAGTGTTGTTCTTGATAGTCACCCATTGTTTTGGCCACTGGTGGAATTTCCTACCTTGATCTCCCCACCTTAATCACTAGATGGTTTTAAATGATTCACTCTTTCCAGAAATAAATTTCTTAGGATAGTGGTTCTCAAAGTGTGGCCAGGGACCAGTAACATCAAGATCACCTGGGAACTCTTTAGAAACACAAATCCTGGGCCCCACCCCAGATTTAATGGATCAGAAACTTTGGGAGTGGAGCCCAGCAATGTGCATTTTTTAACAAGCCCTCCAGGCAATTCTGAGGTACAATCTAGTTTGAGAACCACTGACTTAGAAGATGAAATATTGCCTTCATTGAGGATATTCAAAGATGTGCTACTGATTTTTAAGGCATTCCGAAGAACAAGTTTCCAGAAGTTTTTGAGCAAAGTTGGAGTACATGTATGGCCTCTCCGGGGGACCGCTTTAAGAGAGACTGGCCTTCCACTGAGACATCCCGGTTCTGCCACCTAGCCATTTGACCTTGAGCAAGTTCTTACACTTGGTTTCTCACCTGGAAAATGAAAGACCCACCCTTACCTACCTCACAGAATTGTAATGAGATTCAAAGTGAGTCACATCTACAGATATGCTCTGTAAACTAGAAAGTACTAAAAAATGTGGAAAGTGAAAGTCATGTCATTCTGCAGACAGGATTCTGGTAGTCTGAGCATTATGTCAGGGCAGAGAGTTGGAGAAAGGCCTGTATTTATCATTCCTTTGGCCAGATCCACCTTTTTGTCTCTATAATGACTGATTCATCACCTTAGTGGATGTGTCTAAGATTCTGCCGTTTCAGCCTACCAATTTATTTGGTGCTAAGAGAGGAAAACCATTGCCTGAATGGTGGCTACAAGGGGCTAGGAAGATGTATTCATTTTCAGACATGCTATTTTCTATGGAAAGCTTAGTGATGGTGAGTAAGGATGTACTGTGTATGTGGACACTGTACACTCATGCCCAGAACTTGTCACACACTAGCAGTGAAAGGGTCTGTACTGAAACTACCCATTTCAGCCCTGTGCAAGGGAGTCATGACCTTCAGCAAGGAAGCGAGTGTTCATTGCCACATCCTAGTCATTGCAGAGAGGCCCAAAAAGAAAATCCCTCAAGCAAACCAAATCTATAGAAACTGAGATTTTAAAACAGACCAGTTAGTGTGTCTGTGCTTGAGAAGAATGTGGGTGGATTTTCCCTCAGAGGTTAGGCTTTACAAACAACTTCACCATAGGAATTCTTTAAACACCAAGCTCCTGGTGCATTTGTAACTTAACTTTAAAGCTTTACAGACTGTTGAGTGAACATATCTGGGCAGGAAGGAAGCTAAATCTGTGCCTTAGTGCTTATTGGGAATGCAGTTTTAGTAACACAGAAAACAGTTCCCACTAGGCCAACATCAACTTCACTTTTCACACAAAGTGGCAGCTAAAATCAAGAGATTCAATAAGAATCTAATTGGTTAATTATGATTAAATTATTGGTTAATTATGGGAAAATAAGCTGTTGGTTAATTATGGAATTAGAATAGGAAATGATTTTGCTCAAAATGTGTGCCTATTTAACAAATCTGCAGAGACAGAAAGTAGATTAGTGGTTCCTAGGCCTGGGGGGAGTGGGGAGGAATGAGGAGTAACTGTTAATGGGTCCGAGGTTTCTTTTAGGGGGGATGAAATTTCCTAAAATTGGACTGTGGTGATGGTTGCTCAACCCTGTGAATATACTAAAGAACACTGAACTGTATACTTTAAATGGGCGGATTATTTGGCATATGAATTATATCTCAATCAAGCTGTTTTTTTAAAAAGTCAAATTGCTAATAAACTGTAGAGCCAAGGAAAACATTATGGCTGTTTAAAAGACAAAAATCACGTCAAAACTTTGTTACATGTGGTTTCGGATCGATAAGAAATAGTGATCATTTGAAATATATTAAGGCAGAAAATATTTGCTTTCTTTTAGGCAGAGTATTTTAAAAGCAGACTATCTCAGCCAAATAATTGAAATTAAAATGTAATAAATTAAGGTGGCTAATAGTTGAAGCCAAAGTCATGGACATTTATGACATAACGAGTAGTCTATGTTCCCTACAGATTTATTTAGAATAAAAATCAGCAGCACTTACACAATAATGATAAGAAAACTGGATTCTCACTGTCCATCGTGTTGCCCTAAACTGATCTGGTTAGGGAAGGCTGGAAGGTTGAAGTTGGAAAGGATATGATCTCATCCTTATGATGTGAATATGCGCTGATAAGAGAAGATAGAAATATTCAGATTTAAGCTATGAAATGGGGCTCTTGTATAAGCAGCTTCGTATCTCATGGTATGTTTATCAGGCGGACTACTCAGTTTTGTCTGCCCAGGAGAGAACCTTTGCCCTTTCCTGCCTCGTTAAGATAGGCCAGGCCAGGCCAGGCTAGCTCTAATCTCCTGGTTAAAGTCCTGGCTCCAGGGCTTGGGGCTTGCCTACTGGCTCACTGGTGGCCATGGAGACTGTAGATTGACGTAAACAGGAAGGGAACTGGCTGGGAGATGTAGGAATTTCTGGCTCAGTGGAAAGAAGGCACGGAGCTACCAACACCTGCCTAGCGAGCCTTGCAGTTTGGAGGCTGCTGGTTAGGGCTTCTTAATGCACCGGAAGACCCTGACTGGGCCACTGGCGGTTCTTTGCGGCAAGAGGCCCTACTTTGGTGGCGTTTCTCAAACACCATTTTTTCATTAATCACCACCCACCCACCCACCTCAAGGAGCCTTTTAAGAGATTTTTTTCCTAATTGTCCTCTTCTTCCATGAAATGTAATACCACAGATATTCATTCATATTCTGTGTGTGTATGTGTGTGTGTGTGTCTATCTGTTTACATACTGCGGCACTCCCCCACACACAAGAATGAATTTTCAGCCCCGAGAATGCATGCCCTGGATGGAATGAAGGCTCTAGGCCGGGCCTTTCTCTTTCTCCTCACATTTGGAGTGAGTGGTGAGGCCAGTCACACGGAGAAGGTGGACAGGGTGGCCCATGCCCATCACTAACCATGAGAAGCCCTGACTCCAGGTTCCAGCATGGCTAGAGGAGTGTCCTCTCAAGTCACATTGTCCCCGCACCATCTGTTCAGCCTGCCTGCCATCCTCCGGGCTCTGCCACCACCTCTCTCCCTGGCAGGAGCCCTTTGCCCAGTGGCTGGCTGACTGTGATGGAAAGCAGGGTCCTCCATCAAAGCAGCAGCACAGGTAGAGGCACAGCTTTCCCCCCAGCAGGTCACTTCCTTCCCATGCTGTCCTCCAGCCCTTCCCAGCTCTAGGCCTCTCCCCAAACCCTCACTCACTGTTCTCTCTCTGTTCCCTCACCCAAACGAAAGCGTGAGATTTATCAGGTTCCCCAGTCTTGCACTGACTTTTATACTCTTCATTTCACATTTCTTTAATACCCTGCTCACAAACTCTTTAAAGTTCTCAGAAAGTATCTCCCCTGCCCTCACAGAGAAATGGATTTCAGAGACCCCCAGCACATACAGATGGCCACTGCTAGAACTCTCTAGAACCTGGCTTCCTTGTAATTAAGAGCTACAGGACATACTTCTGCCTCCTCTGCCTTTCCAGACTATGAGAGCATTCCTAATGCCCTCTTCTACTTGGAGCTGGGAACATGAAGCCAGGCACAGCGTAAAGCCCTGGCCCTGGGATCCGCAGGATCATGACCCTCTTTGTTCCTTAGAACCCTCTGACTTAGATCATGGGCTTTTATTTCCAAAAAAGTTAGCAAGTTAAGGGGCCTCTAAGATGGTACCATCGAGTCTCCCCCACCTTTGCTGAACACCTGCTCTGCTCCAGGCACTGTGCTAGGCCTTTTCACATACATTATCCAATTCAGTATTTACCCCCTATGAGGTAGGTTCCCATATTACAGATAAATAGTCACAAGAGAGGTCACACAAGAGGCTGAGTCACTTGCCTAAGTGGTGAAATCAGGGCTTAAAGTCAGGCCTGTTTAACTCCACACCACTTACTGCATTGTCCCATGGGAGAAAACATGTTCCCACTTGAGAAAAACATTTTTCCCAGCTGTGTACAGAGGGGCTTCACTGTAGTTTACCATTCTCAAAAGATGACACAGTTAAAAGGGAAGAAGGTGGGATTTAATTCCAGGTGTGTGTTCCCTCGGTGCTTCTTCCCCAAGATCCATGTCTCCGGCCCGTCTGTGATTAGCCCTTTAAGGACAAAGAATGACTTTCCCTCTCCCAGGCCCCACCAGGTGTTCATGCCTCAACCTCCTGCAAACGGGAAAGAGGCAGAAGCCCCATTCTTAGAACTTGGAAGCAGGAGCAAAGCAGAAATTGCCACCAAGTTAGCCTGAGGGCAAGTCACGTCAGCGGCCCTGCCTGCACGGGGGTGGCAGGTAGCAGGGAGCCTGGTGGGTTTACACTGATCGCTGTCCCTTTCCTGAGCCCCTTGCAACATTCTTTTTTATGAAGAAGAAATAGCACATTGACTTAGGATTTAGTCATACTTCATTCATCCCATTTGCCTTTTCCCTGGCCTCTAAAACCACGAGCCTGGCTGAGGAATTCAGGTCCACAGTGTAGGCTTTGAACAGCTTTGTGTAGGGAGAGGTTTTGAAAAGAAAGGAAAGTGGTATCTACTTGTCAGATGGAATGTGTTAACAAATCAGGGAGGAATGCAAGGACTTTAACTGTTAGGGTCCCTTGGCAGTTTGGGTGATGAATCATCCAGCGTGGGTACGGATTCCTAACAAATGAAGCCTCACGATGACATCATTCTTGCAAAATCATCTGGGTTTCTGTTGTAGGCGCCTGACAAGTTCTTACCTTGGGGATTTTCACCACATGGCGTTTGTTGTTTTTTTTTTTCCCCAGCCACAATTAATACCCATCATGCCTTACAATTCACCCACTTTTCTATCAACTGGAATTTGGCAAACTAGGACTTTCACAAGTCTGTCTCACTATCATCCCTCCTACAGGGCATTCTTGGGACACCTGTGCTTCTCACCTGATCGCTCAGCACCCAGCCTCCTGATAGTCCTGGATTCAGTCAGGCTGTATTTCAGCGGCGAGCCTGGGCTTGCACTAGTCTGAGGGCGTGGACGTGATGAAGACCACAGAGGAGTGCAGGGGCATCTAGGAGGGTACCTAACCCAGACTCGTGGGATCAGGGAAAACACAGTGCTTTGAATATGGTGCCAGTCAGCAAATATATGATGACTAAGTTAATAACTGAGTTGAGTCTTAGGAGAGGAGTAGGAGTTAGTCTAAGGATGAGTTCAAGGGGAGATATCTCAATGAATGAAGACCCGTGGTTACAATGTGTGAGTAGGAAAAAGTAAGAGATGAAACTGGGTGGGTGGGCGGGAGCGCCTCATGTGCCATGCTAAGGAGCTGAAATGTTATCCTAAGAAAGATGAGAAATGATCAAAGGGCTTTGGGCATGGAAGTAAGGTGGCCTGATTTACAGCAGTATGGAGGATGGAGTGGAAGGGGCCAGACTGCGGACAGAGAGACTAGTTAGGAAGTTAACGTGGTCCTTTAGAGGTGATGTGAGCATGAAGTAGGGCAATGGGGTAGGGATGAAATGAGAGGACAGGCTAGCAAAATATTTAGAATTTACGCTTGGCAACTGGTGATTATCCAGAAGACCCCCCAGATTTCCAGGGTGGCGTTGCCACAAACTGAAAAGATGAGAAGAGGCCCATGTTCAGCCAGAGTTACCAGTTCGATTCGGGTATGCTGAGGTAGAACTGCCTGCAAGAGACCTGCGGCTGGTCGAGCTGACTCACAGGTAGTTAAGATACACGAATCCCAAGACAGAGGAGAGTGTGGGCTAAAGATAATGACTTAGGACTCCTCATATTCATAGTCAAAACCATAACAGCACAGTATTTGACACACCCAGGAAATTAGGGGAAATGAGAAGGGCAGTGGGTGAAGGACAGAACCTGAGGGAATACCAATGTGGATGGTGGGGGAGAAGGAAGACAGACCATGGCAGAGACAAAGAAGGAGGGTCAGAGAGACACGGGGGCCCAGGAGGGTGCCTTACTGCTCTGTGCTTCTCTCCCCTCTAAACCTTATGGTTGTCCTGTTCCTCATAAGTAAGCTCTTCCTCACCTCCCCATACAGCCCTTATAGGTGAAAGCGGCTCCTGATCCCAAAGCACATTCTTGCAGCTTCCAGCCATCCCTCCTCTACCCTCCTGAAGAGATTCCTGCATCTTCATGGCTCATACAATTCAGTTATAAAGCCTCAACTTCCTTTCCTGGTCATTCTCTGTTTATCTAAGCCTGGCATCTACATAACCATTTCTCTCTCCACACCTCCCCCCAATGCTGCTATCACAGGACGACTTGAGTACCGTGAGGATAAACCATCACCAAGACTCACAGTTCCTAGATGCCCCCACCTCCAGGGACTCTTCACCTCCACTCCAGCCTCCCGTTCCCATGACGACCCCAGGAAATGGTTAATACCTGGCACAGCTTCAGTCCTGTGGGAATAAACCTCACATCCCACTCTGACCACAACCAGCTCTCTCACCTCTTCTCCTACACTTGTTTTCTCACTTTCCTTAGTTCCCTCCATTTCCTTCTGACCTGTTGACCCCCTCCTGACCTCTCTTCCTTCTTTACCCGGGTTAGACTCTCCAGTTATATTCATCTGGTTATTCTTTTTTTTATATAAATTTTTTTTTAAATTTTTTGGCTGTGTTGGGTCTTTGCTGCGTGCAGGCTTTCTCTAGTTGCTGCGAGTGGGGGCTGCTCTTCGTTTTGCGGTACACGGGCTCTAGGCACGTGGGCTCAGTAGTTGTGGCACGTGGGCTCAGTAGTTGTGGCACGTGGGCTCAGTAGTTGCGGCACGCGGGCTCAGTAGTTGTGGCACGCAGGCTCAGTAGTTGTGGCTCACGGACTCTAGAGCACAGGCTCAGTAATTGTGGCACACGGGCTTAGTTGCTCCACGGCATGTGGGATCTTCCCGGACCAGGGATCGAACCCATGTCCCCTGCATTGGCAGGCAAAGTTTTATACACTACACCACCAGGGAAGCCCCATCTGGTTATTCTTTCCTGAAATCTTTACTCCCTTTGTACCTTCCCTCTTCCCCCACACCTGCCCAGGGCAACTCTGGTCCCCATTCTCCTCTCTGCTCCTGCCCCAAGCACACAGAGGGAAACGGGATCCCATACAGAAGAACATCATTAAAGATTCACGGTCTTCACTCTCATCCCTGTAATTCT